TCAGTTGCAGTTCATTAAAGCTGCCGATCAGATAGTGGTGTTGAATGAGGGCAAGTGTATAGCACAGGGAGACTACACTCAACTACTCAAAGAAGGTTTGCATTACACTAACGTTATAACAAAATATTATGTTATTATTACCTTTATTTGATAATATTAATAACTTTTTTATATAAAATGGTAAAATAGGTATTGATTTAATCAAATACGCGGGCGATTCAGAGCTTCTTCGCGATGAAGACGGCAAACAAAATACAGATTTAAGACGTCGAACACTCTCGAGGGCCGACTCCTGGATAGGATCGAGTGGCGGCCGGATGTCAAACGTCTCGTCCCTTCACTCCTTCGGCGACGAAGCGGTCGATGAAATCACAGAACAAGAGATAGGAGTCTATAAAGAGGACGAGGAATACACGACCGAAGCCAACAAAGACGGCAAAACATCGCCTAAAGTGTATTGGACTTACTTGAGAGCCGGCGCCGGAATACTATTATTGCCGACACTATTATTATCAAACATATTGACCCAAATTATATTTACGGGAAGTGATTACTGGCTCTCGATGTGGACGGGCTATCATGAGAGCAAGAATTTACACCAAAACTCAACCAAAATTGAGAAAAGTTGGATGATTTCAGAGGTGGAGAACACAAACATTATAATCTACACGTGTCTCGTGGCCGCACTCTTCCTCTTCAGTATCGGACGTACCGTTACTTTCTTCACGGTTTGTATGAGATCTTCGGTCAAACTTCACAACAAACTGTTGGAGTCTGTAATCAGAGCTCCGATCGCTTTCTTTGACAAATACCCGATCGGAATGATTCTCAATCGAGTGTCACGTGATTTAGGTATTTAGCACTTTATTCAATGAAACTTTACTTTTAAATAAAACAAAATAAATATTAATTTCTGAAAAATGTTAGGAATTATCGACGATTTACTGCCGCCGACCGCTTTCGATGCGGTGGAAATCCTGCTAGATTGTTTGGCCATTTTAATTTTGTGTATTTATATCAACTATTGGGTTGTGATCCCAACACTAGTGCTACTCGTCTTTCTAATACTCGTCCGACACTTCGCTTTGGGAACCATTACTCGGCTCAAGAAAGTGGAGGGAACGGCGAGGAGTCCCATATTTAGCCATTTGGCCTCAACTCTGGCCGGTCTCACAACTATCCGATCGTTTGGCGCCGAAAATGAATTCTCCAAAAAGTTTGATGCGCTTCAAGACAAACACACGTCCACTTACTTCATGTTCATGACGTGCACGCGTTGGTTCGGCATCGTATTGGATGAGTTGTGTCTCATCTACACCATCGCCATCACCGCATCGCTCGTCTCCAACCTCGACAGCGCCACCGGCAGTGCTATCGGACTCAGTCTCTCGCAGGCCATCCAATTGACGGGTAGTTTTCAGTGGGGTATTCGCCAGAGCGCTGAAGTCGAGACTCAGATGACTTCCGTTGAGAGGGTTTCCGATTTGAGTAAAATTGACAGAGAGTTTGAGAGCGAAGTCAAACCCCCGACCGGTTTGTCTCCCAAATTGTATATATCTTTACTGTATATTAAATTAAATGTTTGTTTTGTAAAGATTGGCCGAAATCGGGACAAATAGTTATGAAAGATGTTTGTCTTCATTACGAAGGAAGCGATTCTCCTGTTTTAAAAGACTTAAATCTAGTCATAAAAGGCGGCGAAACAGTGGGTATAGTCGGCCGGACGGGCGCCGGAAAGTCATCCATAATCGCAACCCTATTCCGAATGACTCCGCCGTCCGGTGTTATAGAGATCGATGGTATCGACACATCGGCTATTAGTTTATCGTATTTGAGACAAAAGATATCAATCATACCTCAGGAACCAATACTATTCACTGAAACGGTGCGCAGAAATCTGGACCCATTTGGCGATTGTGGCGACGATTTAATTTGGGAGACGTTGGAAAAGGTTCAGCTCAAGAGCACAATCAACGCCTTTCCCCATAAGTTGGATCAAACCATCTCCGAAAGTGGCGGCAGTTTCAGTGTCGGCCAAAAACAACTCATATGTTTGGCGAGAGCTATACTCAGGAATAATAAGATACTGGTGTTGGACGAGGCGACTGCTAATGTCGACCCCAGGTATGCAGAGTTTCATACAATAATTAGTGATGTTTTTGCGAATTGATTGAAATTAATGTTATAATGAATTCTCCGCAGAACTGACGCCTTAATACAAGACACGATACGAAACGAGTTTAACGACTGCACGGTATTGACAATCGCTCACAGATTGCATACAATCATGGATTACGACAAAGTGCTGGTTCTGGACGCGGGACACATCGCGCAGTTTGATTCGCCTAATAATCTCATACACGACGGGAACGGCGTCTTCGCTCAGATGCTCGAAACCACCGGCAAATCAATGGAACAGCACTTGAAACAGATTGCACTCAAAGCCCACATCAGAAAACTTAATTGATTACTAAATTATAACATGTGTTGAATTGTTTGTTTAGTTTATTTTTATAACAAATTAATCGTTTTCAATGTTTAGCTGTTGTTTATTTATAGTTAGTTTATAATTATGTAATTATTTATTATAAAATTTAAATAATAAATTAGTATTTATTTATGTCTAAAATTATGTAAAAATTCTTGACTTTAATTTCGATGATTTTGGCGAAAATAGTTTTGAAAGGATTGTCTCTTCGTTTGGTGACAATTGGGGATCAGATCCGAGCAATTCTTTATCTTCTTCGGTGTCGCGCGAATCAGATGTTTGTCCGAAATCATTGTCCATAACGTTATCGGCGTCTGACTCTTGCGGTCGTTCTTCCGATGATTGTGTGGAGGATTGGATGGACTCGTAATCGTCGGTCACCTCAACATCGGATGTCTCTGAAGAGGTTTCTGTCAAATCGCTAACAGATATGGACTCGACTTCGGAGTCGTTTGATATTTCGGGCAAATCAGTGAATGTGTCCACAGATTCATGAATAGTCTCTGCCATAGATTCTTGTGGTGCCTGTTGTTCATCAGCCGATGAGATCGTCTCAACCCAATCATTATCTGCTTTGTCTTCGTGTGTCTCTTCCTCTTCAGCTAAAATAGAGTCTATGTTCTGATTGTCTAAGAGTTGGTCAGAAGAATCACTGGAATCGCTGTTTTCTGTTGTAATTTCTGAATCTGTGCCAAAAGATGATTCAATCAATTGATTATCATTTGATTCCTTTAATTGTTCTTCAGATAAATTATGAAGAGTTTTGTTGAATTCATTTTCTGGAAGTGAATCCAATTGAGTCTCAAGAGAGCCATCTATTGGTTCGCTTTCTCTTATATTTTCTGCAATTATTTCTCCATTAGTTTCTTGTGGTACTTCTGAAGATTCATTATCTTCTATCACATCTGGTTGTTGTGGTAAATCTTCCTCTACTTCATGGGATGTCTCAATTGATTCATTGTTTTCAATTAAATCGGGTTCTTGTGGTAAGTCTTCGGGGGTTTCAGATGTTGTTTCAATTGACTCTTCGTCTGCTTTTATCTCAGAATCTTGTGGTAAGTCTTCCAATGGTTTGGACGGCGTTTCAATCGATTCGCTTTCGTATATAAAGTCTATATTCGGTGGCAATTCTTCGTGTG